GTAAAAACAATAGAAGAGAGAACAACAGACTGTTAACGTCACACATGAACAGTTCTTCAGATAAACTATAACATAAACAACAGAACAAGTTTAACAAACTCTCCATCTCACTCCAAATCACTAAATCCATTCAATTCTTCATCCTCGGTGTCACTTCTGAACAACTCGGCCTCGACCTCCGGAGGTAAACAGAGCGACACAAACTCTTCTGCGTCGCCGTCGTCAGACTCAGCATCAGTTCCAGTTAGAATTATTCGGGCCTTTCTGAATCCCGACAGGATGGTTTCGGTGTCACGGACGTCCAGTCGTCCAGAAGTCCAGTCATATCGTCAAAGTTCTCATCAATAACATCGCAATATATCGAATCACGAGTCTCTTTGCTTAAATGAAGAGTTATGGTGCAGCAACAGCTAAAAAAAAAGACAGAGGGAACTACATAGACCATGATCCTTTGCTCCATTTCAGTGCAGACGACAAGAAGAAACAACAGTTCTAACACTTTTAAGTCTTAGTTCCTCTTGTCAAGGCATTTTAAGAAGAAAAAGGTAGAATATTCACAGTTTCGTTCGCAGCCTCCACAAAATATCGCAGTAAATTTCGCACCGTGAGATTTGGATATCGTTACATCCCATATCGTGAGCTTTCCCTCGATATCGCAAGTAAATATCGTACCGTATCGTTAGACTTGGATATCGTTACAGCCCTAGAGTCCAGGCTTTGTCCATCCATCCAGTGACTTCCAGAAAAGCTGCACGGTGTCACAAGTTTCTCGCTCGCTCCAAACTTTCTTCCTGCCGCTCGATTTCCGTTTTCGGCTGCAGATTTCACGACTCGCGTAGGCTCTTTCTGCAGGAGACATGCGCAGTAGAGTGAAGTTACAGTTTTACAGGAGTAACAGGAGCAACAGATACTCGCACGCAAAAGTACAGCGCCCTCTTGTGGCTTCAGTTTGAACATTTTAATATATAATTCGCAGGAAAACACCCAAACCATGAAAAAAAGTGCCACTTATAGTCCGAAAAATACAATTGTTTGGACATTTGGTATCTTTGAATTTCATTTTTTAATATAATTGGTTAAAAAAAAAAAAGAAAGCAATTGTACCAGGCGATTTTTATGGTGTAGATCAAATTATTTTGTCTAGAAAGTCCCACAATATCGCATTAAACTTGTGAGATTACAGATTTACAGAACCACAGTTAAAAAAACAAACAAATAATGAGAAGGTTCAACTTTTGTGGATCAGAATCTTGAACATTTCTGTAAAAAGCAGTGAATCTTCAGTCTTCTTTCAAATGATCTAGGGATGTCAAAAGTATCAAAAACTCGAGTGTTTTTTTAGTATCGTGAGAAGAAAGTAGCGATTAGATAATATTATTTTGTTAGTGCTTATATCTCGTCACTATAACAATAATAAAAAGCATTCGTATGTGACTATCTCTTTCCTCTTCTGTTTTCACTTCTTAGACATTTGTCCCCGTTGTGAACTCGGCGGTTCGTCGAGTCCGGCCAGTTTTTCCGCCAACCACCGCTGCCGCATTTCTTTCCGTTTACGCTCTAAGTGGCCGCGCTAACGAGCTAAACCACTTTACCTCTGGCTCCTGTCCAATAGGAAATGACGAGGAAGTGTCGCTAGGCAGATTTTTGGAGCAGGTTACGCTTATTTTTTATTATTAAAGTTGCTCTGTGTAACTTTTCTGTCAGCCACTTGTCTCCATAGAGATGTGGGGATTATTTGTAATTTTTTTTCATCATTTTTATTTTTTATTTATTACGTTTCTTGATTTTATTTTATTTTTTTAAGAGTTTTTATTGCTCAAAAATGCCATTGAAGTATGTGCATTCTTACTGTGAGTGCGCTCGCCTCTCCGCAGTTCTGACCCGTAAACTTGGCCTGGTGGCGTCGCCTGCTTGTCTCCGTGGAGATAGATAAAGCCATACTGTGGAATATTTCTGCTGACAATAGCAGAACTGTCAGGACTAAAGCAGGACTGAAACAAGACTAAAGCGTGGGCAGAATTAGGGCCACGACCAAGAGACAAAAGGACTAATTCAGGACTAAATCAGGGAATAAACCAGGACTAAACCAGGACTAAAAAGAGTAAAAAGGACAAAACCAGGGAGTAAACCACGGATTAAATCAGGGACTAAACCTGGGACTAAACACATGGCACAGCCCAGTCTTACAAATGCAGTCGAGCCGGACTGACTTGGTGACTAGACATGAGCTTATGTGGAACAATAACTGCTCTTACAAATGTTTATTTAGTTTTTGCTACTGCAATCCATTTTCTGCACCATAATCCTTGTTTCCATTGGGGCCGGGATTGGACCATAGACGTACAAGACATAAAAAGACAAAAGACATATAAAAGAAGTGGACTAAGTGAGTGTGATGTCACCCGTATGAGGCTCTTGATGCCCACAGTTACAGGAATGAAGCTTTATGTTATGAATAGTTTATTTTTTGACGGACAAAAGTGCGAAAAAAAACTTCAGGATCATGTAGAGCGTTAATATGAACATTTTAAGACCAAAATGACGAGGCTCACAGCAGCAGATAGATCCTAATGTAAGTCCATTGGAGCCAGAGTCAGAAGGAGCCAGAAGAGCCTCCTGGAGAACTTCCTGTTTGGCACGCGGCGACTACAGCGTTAACTATGTCCACTCATATATATACGGTCTATGGACGGGACGGAACGACGTGGACACTGAGCGTTCCCGCTGCGTAAAGCGATCCGTACCGCCTCCTTTTCGGGGTCCAAAGCGACCGCTGGAGATGCTGCTACCTTCCAAAGTGGTCTGGAACTTTTGGGACCTGGGACCAAGCCCTGGGGTTTCAGAATGACTCCAGATTCTCCTTTAGGCCGGCGAGGTTCTCCCGGTGGCTCTGGGTCAGTTTGAGCATGTGCAGTGGTGTCTTTTCTCCCACGGGTACACGCCAACGCAACGAGCACGGAGAGCAGAATCACATGTGTAATGTTGCGACCGAGAACCCTTATTTACTCACATAACCGGTTCTGGCATAAAAAAGGACAAGGGCAATGTGGTATAAAAGTTGCACTTTATTTAAATCTTTTAAACATTTAAGAAAATATTTCATTTTCTGGTTCCCTTCTTGATACAATTACACCCCACTCAATTGTCATAGATGTAGGACTCAACCCCACCCAAACTAAAACACAACAAATCAAATTAGTAATCCAAACCAAACACTAATACCAAAAAAAACAAACACTAGTTGAACCCTACATTTACAATAAGTTAAAGTGCTGGTGCGCTGTAAACCTGGATAATGCAATAATACTTAAAGTGCGTGTGCCGAGGTGTCTGAGGTCGGCTTCGTTACAATAAAGGGCATAAAATTCCAGCTGGTGAAAGTGCTCGTGCTGAGGAGGAAAGTGACTTGTGCCAACCCTGAGACCTGACCTCACACTGCACTGACCCCCTGACCAAATATTGCACTTCCCTCCAAGACCTCAGCTACTGTTAGTCAATATTCAGTTAAAACCAACACTAAGAATAAGATAAAGAATAAAGAGCAAGAATAATGCAGCAGTGGCAATCGCAAATTTAGAAGGGGGAGGGGGGCACTCTACATGGGGCTCGGAGCGCGGTACGAGCGGCCGCCGGCACCACCGCCCACTCCAGACGACACGCGCCGCCTTCAAAAGCCACCGAAAGCCCCGACCGCCACACCACGGCGTGCGCAGCCTTTTCTAATCGCGTAATCAGTGACGACGGGAGCCACGCGCAGCGACGCACAGGTGGACGCGCTCACGGACGCAACACAGTAGGACAACAGTCTAATCACCCGGTTACACATGATTTCTTTGACCAATCAGAGCGAACGATTATAAAGCGTTTTTTAAGACAACTGAAGGATTTTGAGCTGAGAAAAAGTTTATGATCTAAAAATAGGTAAAAATCGCCAACAAATCTGACAGTTTTTAAAGTTGTAGGGCCCTGTCAGACGAACTGTTAGGTTTATCTAAACATTGTAAACAAGAAGAAAGACAAGAGATTAATTCAGTTTTACTCGCGAGGAGAACGGGCAGAGAGTGGGCATCAAAACCAACAGTCTCCACACGTTCTGATGACTCAAGGCTGCTCTCCTCCTTTTATTTCATTAGGAGGCCCTAGTTACAGAACGATAATTCTCAAGGGGAAGGGGAAACAGCCAAGACATAATAAGAAACTGATGCAGTTATGCATAGTACAAACACATAAAACATGATTAACAATCAGGAGGTGCCGTAGGTATGGACAGACACCATCATAACTCTTGCATGTGTGACAGTGGAAGTTGGCTTCATGTGAGGAATCATCTGGAGGTTCACTAGAGCGATAGGACACTGCACACAGTTGTCAAACACACAGAGGTTATTCAACAAGTGACAAGTGATTGGTACATTATAGATCAAAGAATTGTAGTACATAAATGGTTAACTCATAGGCCTAGAATATCACACAAGTATTTAGCAAATATGGGATAATAAAATTATTCTGACACGAACACAAACAGTTTGTGAGAAAAATCTTGTCTCAGCCCAGTGGATTTTTTTCCGCTCAAGTTTCAGTTTCAGTGAGCATCACTACGACAACTGGAGGCAGAGACGAGCAGCAACACCCTCCAGTTATTTTTATAGATCCGTGCGTGGGACTGGCTTGTTGGGTGGACACACGCGTGGCAAAACGTAAATAATGTGACCCATGTAACTGTAAGTGCAGATGCTGTAAAACAGAAGGGAAGAAGAAACATTGTGAAACTTATATTCGCCTGAAAACACATCCAGTCTCTTGACAGTTTCTCAAATGCAAAGTGTTGTGCATCATAATAAATCCACATGTGTGACAGTCTGTTTTTACATGTGCATTTGTTTTGCGTTATATTTGAACATTGATAAGTGTTGACTCTTTTCTGTACCATATATTCACTCTTCTGTCTCAGTACAGTTATATTTTTCTATATTTACAGTTTGTTTCTGTCTTGTTTTCAGCAGGGAGGCAGCTCCATTCAGACGCACCACCTTGAATACAGCGATGGAGGTATTCTGGACATGGACGACCCTTTGGCAGATCTGGTGGAGGACAGAGAAAAGGTAAGAAAATTTTAAAGTTATATGTCAACAAACAGCTTTGTGTCTCTGAAACTCACTGCTGACAGTTCAAATCATGTCCAAAAGTCTTCAAAATGACAGTACTTTCTTTTCTATTTCCGAGTCAATGGGACTTTTTTTAGTTTCGATATCTGTGAAAAACGAGGATCTAGTTTCGATAGTTTCCACAGCTCCAGTTCTGCTTTTATAGTGATTGTTGTTGTTTTTTTAAGTAAGAGTTCAGTTCTTCTTCCACCAAACCAAATAACTCACCTCACAGTTACTTTATTGACTTTTTAAACCCAGTATTTCCTGTTGTTTCGGCTCCTCTCCGCTCTGACAGCTCTCCCCGTCTGATGGACAGAATTCCTGCTCGATGGAGTAACAGAATAAACGTGTTTTTGTTCTGCCGGGTTGTTTTTTTCCCCCCGAGTTGGTTTGAGACGGGGGTAAATTGCAAAAAGCATTTGTCAGTCTTAGTTACGTGTCGTGGTCGGAAAAAGTCGGAAGAGGAAGTGGTTTCGGTGGTGGGATTTTGAGTTTTGAAGTTCGACTCGATAAACAAAACTAAGAGTGATGTTAAGAAAAGAAGATACAACATGTCGGATCATATAGGATTTCAGCCACGTGTTTGTTTTCAGAGGTGATGTCACAGAACTTTACAAAACGAATATGATTTTTTGGAGTTTACAACAGTTTTTTTTTTTTTACAGGGGTTTGATTATAGTGAGAAAACGAATTAATGTCATAAGATTTTAATCCGTGTGTTCGTTCGTTCATTCATTTTTCAGTATAAAACCAAAAATAAGAAAACAAAAAAAACTGTTTTCTTCAGTATTTCTCTCCAAAACCAAAATGAAAAAACGGATAACGATTTGTTTTTCAGTTTTTGATTTTGTGTTAAAAAGAAGAATGGAAAAAAAAACGGAAAATGGCCGTTTCCCGTTTACGTGACTTCCGTGACTGCGATGCCGAACTTTTGCACCTCATACAGACTGAACAAGGACCGATCCAAGTCCGGGACCAGACCGGAACTGAGACCGGGACTGAGACCGAGACCAGGCCGGGACTGAGACCGAGACCAGGCCGGGACTGAGACCGAGACCAGGCCGGGACTGAGACCGAGACCAGGCCGGGACTGAGACCGAGACCAGGCCGGGACCAGACGAGACTGAGACCGGGACTGAGACCGAGACCAGGCCGGGACTGAGACCGAGACTGAGACCGGGACCAGGCCGGGACCAGACCTGCTTCCTCTTCCTGGAGACCGACTGTATGTGGCATGTTTTGGGTTGAAGGGGGAAAACCATCCAGACACGAGGAGAAACATGCAAACTCCAGACAGAAAGGCCCTGGGTGACATGGGGATCGAACCCAGAACCCTTCTTGCTGTGAGGCATGAGTGCTAATATGAAATATTTCCATAGTTCATGACTGTCACGTATGATTAAATCTGAGCTTAATGCGAACGACAGTTAAAGTGATTCTCTTTATGGTCACCTGTCAGCTCGGAGTCAGAGCTCGGAGTCAGAGCTCGGAGTCAGAGCTCGGGGTCTGACTCCCAAACTTTCACTCCCAAACCCCGAGCTCTGAGTTTGGGAGTCGGAGTTTGGGAGTCGGAGTTTGGGAGTCGGAGTTTGGGAGTCGGAGTTTGGGAGTCAGAGTTTGGGAGTCAGAGCTCGGAGTTTGGAGTCAGAGCTCGAGGTTTGGGAGTCAGAGCTCGAGGTTTGGGAGTCAGAGCTCGGGGTTTGGGAGTCAGAGCTCGGAGTTTTGAGTCAGAGCTCGGGGTTTGGGAGTCAGAGCTCGGGGTTTGGGAGTCAGAGCTCGGGGTTTGGAGTCAGAGCTCGGGGTTTGGAGTCAGAGCTCGGGTTTGGGAGTCAGAGCTCGGGGTTTGGAGTCAGAGCTCGGAGTTTGGAGTCAGAGCTCGGAGTCAGAGCTCGGGGTTTGGAGTCAGAGCTCGGGAGTTTGGAGTCAGAGCTCGGAGTTTGGGAGTCAGAGCTCGGAGTTTGGGAGTCAGAGCTCGAGGTTTGGGAGTCAGAGCTCGGAGACTGGGAGTCAGAGAGCTCGGGGAGTCAGAGCTCGGGGTTTGGAGTCAGAGCTCGAGTTTGGGAGTCAGAGCTCGGGGTTTGGGAGTCAGAGCTCGGAGTTTGGGAGTCAGAGCTCGGAGGTTTGGGAGTCGAGGGTTTGGGAGTCAGTCGGAGTTTGGTCAGAGCTCGGAGCTTGGAGTTTGGGAGTCAGGAGCTCGGAGTTTGGGAGTCAGAGCTCGGAGGGTCAAATAAAACACAAAGCAGTTACAGTGGTATCGACTCTTGGTATCGGCTCTTGGTATCGACAGCCCATTGACGAGCACGAGTACTGACACTTGGTATCGGTGCATCCCTACAAAATTTCATATTCTATTTCTATACTAAAGAATAGACTTGATACTATAAACTGTATGGACAGAGCTAACTTTCTAACCGCCGCGTTACAAACAGGAAGTGAGCATGGATGCGCTTCCGGCTCCATCGACTCTGGCTCTGATTGACATTACATTGAAAAACCGTCCCCCCTCTCTCTGTACCTGCTGCTGTGAGCCTCGTCATTTTGGTCTTTAAATGTTCGTCTTAACCCGCTCTACATGTTTCTGCTGTTTTTATTTCACTTTCTTCTTCCTAAATCACGATATAAACATTAACATCAGACAGATCTTTTGCCGAGGTTACTCACGTTAGAGTTGGCGAGATTTAGTCAGCAAATTCAAATAGTTATTGCACTGATAGCTGATGTTAGCTGATGTTTTAGACCGGCTCTGTTGGCACCGTTTGGCAAAACTGTTGTGAAAAATGGGACAGCGTTGAATAATGAATGAAGTTTTGTACTTAGACAGAAAATAGAGTCTCGTCTTTTGGGAAACCACTTCATAATCATAAGATCTGAAAGAAATACTGAATTTAAATTTTGTATTTGATGTTTTTGCGGGTGACGAAAAAGTGTCTCCCCGTTGCCTTTCCTTTTATAACACACAAAGACAGATAAAACTGAACTCGTACCGTATCAAACCTACTGGGGATTAGCGGAGCATTCATTATAATGGATTTCAAAGTCAAGGTGAAGTTTTTCAGACACCAAAGCTGATTAAAGGCCCTGTACTGATTTTTTTTTTCCATGTATTTGAGTAAAATGTGTCTGCATCTAATTATAAAGCTCTCAGGAAGTGCTCATTAGTATGCTAGTTGTTGTTATTACATTGCAATGACAGCAAAACTTCGCTCTGTTCTAGTCCTGGTTTAGTCCCGGTTCACTCCTGTTTCAGTTTGTGGTCTAGTTCTGTAGTTTAGTCCTGGTTCAGTGTTTGGTTCAGTTTGTGGTCTAGTTCTGTAGTTTAGTCCTGGTTCAGTGTTTGGTTCAGTTCGTGGTCTAGTTCTATGGTTTAGTCCCGGTTCAGTTCGTGGTCTAGTTCTATGGTTTAGTCCCGGTTCAGTTCGTGGTCTAGTTCTGTAGCTTAGTCCCGGTTCAGTACCTGGTTCAGTTTGTGGTCTAGTTCTGTAGTTTAGTCCTGGTTCAGTACCTGGTTCAGTTTGTGGTCTAGTTCTATGGTTTAGTCCCGGTTCAGTTCGTGGTCTAGTTCTATGGTTTAGTCCCGGTTCAGTTTGTGGTCTAGTTTTATGGTTTAGTCCCGGTTCAGTTTGTGGTCTAGTTTTATGGTTTAGTCCCGGTTCAGTTTGTGGTCTAGTTCTGTAGTTTAGTCCCGGTTCAGTACCTGGTTCAGTTTGTGGTCTAGTTCTGTAGTTTAGTCCTGGTTCAGTACCTGGTTCAGTTTGTGGTCTAGTTCTGTAGTTTAGTCCTGGTTCAGTACCTGGTTCAGTTTGTGGTCTAGTTCTGTAGTTTAGTCCCGGTTCAGTACCTGGTTCAGTTTGTGGTCTAGTTCTGTAGTTTAGTCCTGGTTCAGTACCTGGTTCAGTTTGTGGTCTAGTTCTGTAGTTTAGTCCTGATTCAGTACCTGGTTCAGTTTGTGGTCTAGTTCTGTAGTTTAGTCCTGGTTCAGTTCCTGGTTCAGTTTGTCCACTGTGTTCTGTCTGCATCGAAATGTAACACGTTTTATTGTCCGAGAATCTAATAAACCCATTGTGGTGAGTAATTAAGATGCCCTGAATGCATAAGCTAAGTGAGGAATAACTTCTTCAGACTTGAGGTCTTTGGATGTTCCTCAGACTTCAGTAGTAGCTAAAGTAACCTAGATGTTCTACAGATTTCTCTGTTGCTTCTAAAGGTCTTTGGATGTTCCTCAGACTTGAACTGTAGCAGCTAGAGGACCTTGGATGTTCTTTTGACTTTTTACTCCCAAAAGTAGCTGAAGGACCCTTCAGACTTCGCTCTGTTGCTTCGAGAGGTCTTTGGATGGTCCTCAAACTTGTCCCAATAGTAACTAAAGTACCCTAGATGTTCTACAGATTTCTCTTTATTACTTCTAGAGGTCTTAAGATGTTCTTCAGACTTGTTTCTATAGCAGGTAGAGGATCTTGGATGTTCCTCAGACTTATCCCAATAACAGATAGAGGTCTTTGGGTGTTCAGACTTGTCCCAATAGTAGATGTTCTACAAATTTCTCTCAGCTGCTTCTAGAGTTCCTTGGATGTTCCTCAGATTTGTCCCAGTAGTATCTAAAGTACTCTAGATGTTCTACAGATATATCTCTGTTGCTTCTAGAGTTCTTTGGATGTTCCTCAGACTTGTTTCTAACGCCGTAGAGGACCTAAGATATTCGTTGGACGGCTGCAAACTAAAATGAATTGAAATTTAAAATGAATTAGTTCTGTTTTTCACGTTTTTAATCAGGCACAGCACCTTTTTTTTTTAATTTAACTCAAACATTTGGACAAATAACTGACATTACTTTCAGTCGTTTGCGACCAAAACGTCCGTCTTATTTCTTACAGCGCCCGGCTCTCGTACTTGTGTAACCAGACGCTATCTTTAGGCTCTATTCTTTGGTGTTTTTTGTGTTTTTGTTCTGGCGCTGT